AAGAGGTAAGAATTCATAATTCTTATTTGTTTTCAATTATTCACTCACTTAATTTCCAAGATAATTGATGAATTCTAACAATTTGTTCTTTTTCCTTAAACTTAGTCACTAGTGCTTTTGAAGCTCGAATGGAAAGTGTAGGTGATATGCCAAGTGAAGGGGAAAGACATAATATATCCGTTGTGGTTGAGGATGGTGATGGAGAAGAAGAAGAAGAAGAAGAAGAAGAAGAAGAAGAAGATGAAGATGAAGTGGAGGATGAAGAGGATGATGATAATGATGTTCTTCTCAACACTTTGACGAAGCAAGGTTGTGCTGATGTTGGCAGTTTGGGTCATATTAGCGATGGAGGAGCTAGTGGTCAATGATAGTGGTGTAGTTATGCTATCTTTATGTTGAAGAATTTTATTTTAAGTTGGAACTTATGTTGGATTTGTCAGTTTAGTAGTTGATTATGGTGTTCATGTTTGTGAGACTATGATGATTGTTGAATGATGGAATTTGTGAATTGTTTCATGTTTGAGACTATGTATTTATGTAGTTATGCTATCTGTATCTACTAGCTACGTGTGTAGACTGTAGTTGACAATGCCATTGCCTATTGGAGTATTGGTAAACCGTAAATGGTAAGTGAGTTGTACTTGTAACTGTATATTAGATAACAACTAATTAACTAATTACTAATAGTGAATTGGTGATTAATAAAACTTGCTAGATGATACTAATATAGCAATAATTAATAAACAAACAAAATTATTTAGATCATATAATTAAACAACATTCAGAAAAATAAAAAGAAAAAAAATGTCCAAATCACCCCACCCAATATTGGTTTTTAACCGGTTTGCCGGCTCACCAATCGTTATGCCTATTTTGTTGTCGGTTTTCAGTATATTGGTTACCGATTATCCGATATTACCGGTTAACATCCGGTATCGGTATTCGACTGGCATAATGTCTGTTTCTGGTATACCGAATACTGGGTAATCTATCTGGTATACCGGATACCGACTGACTACCAGCCCTAGTTTTATGGAGGGGTCCAAGGGGTGGTAGAATACTGAAGTAATTCTATCAAATTTTTGTTCTTAGATGTAATCCAGTGAAAGTGAAATCTTTTGTGAGGGTTTAGGAGATGATTTGAATGCTGGGTTGATTCTACAATTTGGTTCTAAAAAAGGCTGTTAGATATTTTGGCGTTCCCCTAATAGTTGGAAAATTAAATTCAGGAGAATGTTAGGCCCTTGTGAAGAAGATCACATGAAGAATATCAGGTGGCAAGAAAAATCCCTCTCCCTAGCTTTCTAATGTGGCTCAGTACTGGATGGTGGTTTTCAAGCTACCAAAAAAGTTATTACAGCTGTTGAGAATTGTTGCCAAAGGAAGTTATGTTATGACTTTCTATGGGGTTCAGAGAAGAAAAAGGTCAAAGTAACATGGATAATTGTAGATTTACCTAAGGAAGAAGGTGAGAAGGGATTCAAAGATGTATATAGGTGGAACATAACTTGTCTTGTGAGGCACCTCTGAAATGTGCTCTCTGATTAGGAAACTAAATGGATAACATGGTTAAAGGAATATCGGTTGAGGAATGTTGTATCCGGGAAATAAGAACTCTAGGATCATGGATGTGAAATAAGGTTCTTAAATTGAGAGGTGGCATGGATGGACGTCACTTGGCAAAAACAGATGCTGGAGTGACTTGGAAAGGAGCAATAATGTCAAGATTCACAGTTAAGACAGTCTGAGAATTTTTCAGATCCGAGAAAGAAAAAAAAAGAGGATAGGTTGTTGTGGAAGCAATACTCTATCCCTAGGAATTCCCTCATAACTTGGTTAGTAGTACTCAATAGAAATACCACATTTGACAAGATTAAGAAGTGACTATCAGATTTAGTGAACTAGTGCCCCCTTTACTCTAGCCAGGAGGAGACACGTGATCATGTCTTTTTTAGATGTCTCTATGTGCAGGAAGTAAAGTTAGTTGTATTTCACTCCAACTGGTTCTATATGCCACAAGATTGTTGGATGGATGGTTTACAAGAAGCATTTATTAAGTTCAGGGGCAACAAGTCAGGTAGGTCTGTGATTTTCTTGTAAGTGAAGTTTGGAGATAGAGGTGTCGTCGGGTATATGGCAACAATCAGCTGTCAGTAGTGGATCTGACTCAGAAGATGCAGGAGATCCTCGAATATATGATTATGAGCAATAACATATTAGCTACAGAAGTGGTTAATAGGCCTTACTGGTATATGGTAGTTTAAGGCTAGAGGTCTGATTGAAAGTTGTATACTTGTGGTTTGTAGGTTTATACTTGTGCAGGTTATAAAGAGATAATAATGAAAGCTTGCTTATTCATGAAAAAATTGTTGGGATATTCTACAAGATAACGCTAACATTCTAAACCTTTTTCCGATTAAGATATTATTTCGATGTGGTTTGACGCTAAAAATATCAACTAGTATTGATAAGGTTTATGGTTCCAATTTCACTAACACTTAACAATTGTTTTACATTTACACATTTCTCTCCTAAGCCAAAGTGGCTCCTATGACCCACCTCCTTCTATATTGGCTCTATCATTGTATGCACCCACAAACACAACTGTATAGGGTAAACTCAAAATGGACAATATCTTGACGATGAAAAGAGTTAGAATGTTGAACAAGATAACGTTAAGAAAAAAAATTCACTAATTGGCTTTAATGATAATGTTGGAAGGTTAACATCTGCCAAACATAGCGATCAACAATTACTTCTCGAAAACATAAATAAATTGCAAAAGGTCTGGCTTATGTCATATAAATCCATAATATAACTGAATACGAATTGGTATAAAACAAACCATTATAACTGAATACGAATTGGTATGTGAAACAAACCACTAAAAATGGTCTGAATTTCCATAACGGTGTGTTTGGCAACTACGGGGTGCAAATTCGAGGGGTGTGCAAGTTGAGGGGTAAATTGCAGGAGGGTGCAAATTGGTGGGGGTGTAAGTGGAGGGATAAATTATTGTTTGGATGAAAAAGTAGGGGAGTGCAAATATACTGAAAAGTAAGTAAATTATATTATTAGAAAATAGATATTAAATTTATAAAACATTATCACAAAACAATAAAATAGGAATTATTAGATAATATTATAAAATAGATATATCAAATTTATAAAACATTATCACAAAACAATAAAATAGTAATTATTATATAATAATATATTTTAATAAAAATAATCATAAAATAGGAATATTCAAATGATAATTAATTATAACAAATGTATTAATCATTGGTCGAGGGGCCTCGAAACTCGAAACTCAACTCGTAACTAATCATCCTGCAGGATTCTCGTGCTTAATTTAACTACAACTGGTCAACCTATACGGTTCTCGTGTCCACTTAACTTTATATTTGAATAGGTCAAACTTACATTAACACGTTCAAATATGTAAGTTTTAACTATTTAATCATGTAAACATAATTAAACACGTTCGAATATGTAAGATTTAACCATTTAATCATATAAACCGAGTTAACTAAACCAGTGTGGAATCGGTATATCAAATCACATTAGAATATGTAAGTTAAACAATTATTCTCTTCAATTTCAGCACAATTTCGAGTAAACAAAGAGATCTTAATTTGACTACACAAACTTTGATAAAATTACTCACCGGAGTCAAACGTGAACATCGGACAACATCTACATTAATAATAACATAAAGATAAAAAATGACTATAATAATTATTTTGTATTTATTATAATTATTATAATATAACATAATTATTACTTATTATACTTTTATTCATTAAATAATCATTAAACATAATAACAACATATGAATCAACATATTTTTTTACATTAATCATTTCTCATCCATCCTCCCTCATTTTCTCTCTCCTTTTGTACCCCAAATTGGAGGGTGTAATGGAATAGTAGATTTACCCCTCATTAACCCCTCACTACTATTGCAAACTATCCAAATGGGTGCAAATGCATTGAAAATTGCATTTGCACCCCAAATTTGCTCCCACTTTATTTGCACTTCTAAACAAACAAAGTGTAAGTGAGCGTTTTATTCTGAAACGATTTTAGCCCCAAAGTATTTATCTTTTACTTTTTGGTGGATTAGTTAACATTCTCTCCATGAAATTAATAGTCTGTTAGTGCGTGTATAAAATTGCACTTAACACCAAGTCAGTGATTGTAGCAAATACCTATTTGGCCCGGGTTTTAAAAGTTTTTTTCGGCTTTTGAATCACGGCCAAATACCTCTAAAAGTTCGGCTTTTGAAAAGCCGACAAACGCTTTTGTATAACATAAAAGCAGAAGCTCCGATTTGGAGCTTTCGTGAAAAGCTATTTTGAAAATACAAGATTATCATTACCATATTTTAATTTTATTTCAAAAAATATAATTTTCTTGCATTTATATCATTTTAACAATAAAATAAAGTATTAAATCATATTATTTAATAGAAAAGAATTCTAACAAGATCCATTTTGACTACATTTTAGTGTTTAGAATTATTATTCATAGTTTATATTATAAGTCCTTTATAGTCATTTTACACAACCTCTCATATTAAAAAGCATTTTTAATAAATTTTCAACCAAACACTCAATTGCTTTTTTTGAAAAGTACTTCTCTAAAATCTCAATCCAGAAGCTACTTCTGCAAGAGTTACGGCCAAACTGAGCCAATGCATAATAGGATGGTTTTTTTATTAATTATCTGGCATACGGCATTCCTTGCCAACAATTTTTTTTATAAGAAAAAAATATAATGGGAATGATTTCTTCTTCCAATTAAACCATTTTCCAAAAAGTGAACAGGTTTAATTAATGTTTTGACCATGGAAATAATTAATACGTTATCTCTACAATTATGAGGTTTCCATGCATGTATTTTACACGTATAATTCTATCTGATGCCATTATAAATGTGCAGACGAATGTGTAGTTTGATTATTATTCAGAAAAGAGAATAGAGAGACCGAAAGCATGTCGAAATTCGACTCTTCTTCTCTACATATTCTTACTCTCGTCGTCCTCGTATCCAGCGTGAACCTAGTACTCTGCAACGCCACCATGAACGGTGACAGAAAGGCTAGTGATTGTTGAATCTAAAGTTCTAAATTTGGGTTTGTAACCCCGCGCTGAATTTTTCCAGATAAATATACAGGTTTATATCGTTTACATGGGAGCATTGCCTGAGCATGACTACTCCCCATCATCTCACCATCTTTCTCTGCTTCAGGAGGTTGTCGACGACAGGTTGAGATCATCGAAATTCTGATTCGAAATTGTAATTCTTCAAATAATACATCTCCTTTTTTTTTGTCTTTAATTTATTAGAACTAATAATGGGAACTTGATATCGTGTCCAGCGGAGAATCAGAAGCATTAATCAGGAGTTACAAAAGAAGCTTCAATGGATTTGCAGCCTATCTCACCGACGAAGAGGCGAAAAGGCTTTCCAGTATCTAATCTCTCTCAAACGCGCGCCTTTATTACTTTACTTTGACAGCGTAATAATTCATGGTTTGTAAATCTCTGAGTGAGTCTGTCTGATGATTTCCTGCAGGCAGGGAGGACGTCGTCTCTGTTTTCCCGAGCAGGGAGCTGGAGCTTCATACAACGAGATCATGGGATTTCATGGGTTTCTATCAGCCCACATCAGTAACCAACCTTCCTGCTGCTGGTGGTGACGTCATAATTGGGGTTATAGACAGTGGGATTTGGCCGGAATTGCCAAGTTTCGACGACAGGGGTTACGGTCCTCCTCCGGCGAAATGGAAGGGTGTTTGCAACGGTGGAACAAACTTCACTTGCAACAAGTAAAATGGCTATATATAATATAATATATGTGCAGTGCTCATTGATTTTATAATTCTCTCTTCTTCTTTTTCACTACTTGATTTTATATCTTCCAATGGGTTTCCTTCCAGTAAGATAATCGGAGCACGGCATTACTCGGGGACCGGTTCAGCGAGGGATCTGCAAGGCCACGGCAGCCACACGGCGTCAACGGCGGCAGGGAGCGTGGTGAAGGACGCCAGCTTTTACGGCGTGGCAAGAGGGATCGCCAGAGGCGGAGTTCCTTGGGCTCGAATCGCAACTTATTCGGTGTGCGGCCTCACTTGTTCGTCGGCGGATGTTCTGGCCGCCTTCGACGATGCCATCGCTGACGGGGTGGACGTCATAACCATCTCAATTGGGAGGAGGTCCGCTGTTGACCTCGACAGAGACACCATCGCCATTGGCGGCTTCCATGCGACCAAGAGAGGGATCTTGACGGTCCATTCTGCCGGAAACGGCGGGCCGGATCCTGCCACCACGGCGAGCGTGGCTCCGTGGTTGCTCTCGGTTGCTGCCAGCACCATCGACCGGAAGTTCGAGTCCAAGGTTGTTCTCGGCAACGGAAAGATTTTTACGGTAAACAAACACTTTTTTGCTGTTTAATTCTTTTTTTTTTTTTTTTTTGCTTTCTACAAAAAGGGTGATTGTTGATCTTAGTTTTTGATTTCGAAAACAGGGGAGTTCGGTAAATGGATTCACGGAGAATGGGGAGGAACTTCCGTTGTTGTACTCAATCAATGGGAAAATTGGATGCACTACAATCTGCCAACCGGGATGTTGTGACAGTAGATTGGTGAAAGGCAAGATCTTGATTTGCGACTCCATCAACGGGCAGTTTTTGGCTCTTCAAGCTGGCGCTAAGGGAGTCGTCTTCCCTTACGTAGAGCTCGACACCGCCTCCGTTGTCTCGTTGCCGGCAGCTGGGATGGATCCCAAGAGATTCGATGCCATCGCCTCCTATCAGAACTCTACCAAGTAGATCGATTCGTCGTTACTAGATCATCAACACCCACATTCTGAATCTGATTTCCCTTTTTCGTGTCATGACCACGACGTTTATGATTGTGCAGGAATCCAGTGGCAAAGATACTGAAAAGTGACACCGTGACGGATCCCAGAGCTCCGGCGGTTGCTTTCTTCTCTTCCAGAGGCCCGAATGTCATTGTGTACGCCATTCTCAAGGTACGTACACTAGAATTGGGATTTTGCGCATGTCTGATGATTTCTAACAATTAAGGTAATAAATATACATACTCTGTTTTTCTTTCCTTTCCTTTCTCTAGCCGGATGTGAGTGCTCCTGGAGTAGATATATTGGCAGGGTGGTCTCCAGTAGCATCTCTCTCCGATGATCCGAACGACAAAAGACAGTACCATTTCAATGTATTATCGGGCACTTCTATGGCTTGCCCGCATGTTGCTGCCATAGCTGCTTATCTCAAATCTCTGCACCCCAATTGGTCCCCTTCCGCAATCAAATCCGCCATCATCACCACCGGTAATTAATGAACCTTCTTTCACTGCTTGCTGCTTATGTCTTTTCCTAATAATATATATAGTGTTGACTTCCTTCTCTCTGCAGCGACTCCCATGCGTCCTCAGAATGTGTCGGACCCAATTCTGGCACTCGCGTCGGCGGACTTCGCATACGGATCAGGGCAACTGAATCCAGTGAACGCCACAGACCCAGGACTTGTGTACGAAACGACGACGGAGGACGACCTCAAGTTGCTCTGCCATTTGGGGTACGGTACCAGCAGAGTCAGAGTAGTCACTGGAGATAACAACATTAGCTGCCCCGCTAGAACCAGCCCAACTGCGATAAAGGATTTCAATTATCCTTCTATCGTCATTCCCGTCCCGCCTAAAAGCGATTCCTTTGAAACTGGGCTGCTCAGAACGGTGACGAATGTGGGATCGGCGGCTAATGCAACGTACAGAGCCGAAGTTGTGGTGACGACGGAGAGCGCGAGGGAGCTGAAGATCCAAGTGAAGCCGGATGTCTTGTGTTTTGAGTATCTAGGTGAGAAGAAATCGTTTAATGTTACTGTTTGTGGTGGTAATTTTCCGGCGGATCCATTTTTTGCGTCGGCTGCATTGATTTGGAGCGATGGGACTCGTAGTGTTCGTAGTCCAATTGTTGTTTACACTCTGCCACCTATGTGACTTTTTTCATTGCTTGTTGATGAATAATTAAGGGGTGTAAGAGCAGCTCCATCGGGTGTTCTTCCTCATTTCATAGTGAGGTATTAATATCATTATTGTCATTTCATTGTTGTAGCCCATTCTTGTACTGAATGGCTAAACCTCGCCCTAATTAATTTAATCGTCCTAACTTAAAACGGCAAAATTACTTAATTAACTTTAAAGAACTGAATACAAAATTAACAAAAACAAACAGCCCCTATGGGCCCTATCTCCTTCCTCGCATCAATACAACTCCCAGCCAGCTTCCCGGACAGCGATTTCTCATCGCCGCCGTCGTTTCTGGCAAAGTAATCATAGATTTTATGCTCGCATCCCTTGTAAATGGCATACAGGGTTCCTTCTTCGCTCTAGTACTGCTTTCTGATTTCCCCTCTTTCTTCTCCATCTGACCTCCATTGGTTACCTTAACACCCGAATCTTCTTTCTGATGAACACCTCCACTACCGCTCAGCCGCCTCGCAGACCCACTAAACGCAACTTCCCCTGTTCCAAGCCTGCCTTCTTGTCCTCCGGCGCCGCATCAAGCTTCCTTTTCCTCAGGTAAGCATACGCCAGCTTGGCCGGTTGCCGTCACTCGCTCGGATCGGAGAACCCAACCTCTCCACCTTCTTGCCGTCGCCGCCTCGTCCAGCCTCTGATGACTCGCTTGCTTACTCTCGGTCTCCGGCGGTAGTACTCTCCCGCGCCGACGGCGACAACGACAACAGAGCAGATCTCGTTCTCTGCGGGAGCCAATTCACCAGATTAACGCCGTTATCTACCCCCGAGCATAGCCTGGTACCCAATTGAATTGAAAATGAAATGGAGGAAGAGAACGCAAAAGAGGGCACACATCTCTTTTTTTTTTTTCTTCCTTTGATTCTCTCTGCTTTGCCTCCGCCGGGATAAACCAGTGTTTGAAGAAGACTAGCAGAGAGCTCTCCAAACTTTGTTTTTGTTTTTAGTCGACTCTTTTTGTTTCATTTTAATAAGATAAATGCAAAAAAAAAAAAATTAACAGGTAATAGCAATTAAATTATAACTTATCAACACATAAACGCATTAGTACCAGAATTTTTTAATATATATAAAGTTATGATTGGATTATACTTTTTATGTTTTACATGTAATTGGAATTAAGTTGTTTTATCTTTCTTTTTAGAACTTTTAATAAATTTATAATGAATTATTTTTTTAAATTAAGTTGTTCCGACTTCATATAATTTTATTGACTGTTGTTCTCGTCTCTTTTTCAGTGTTTAAATATGTATACCAATCAAGCGATATAGTGATGAAATTCAAATAGCAACAAAAAATCAAGAGATATATAAACTGCGAGTTATAAATTGTCATACCAAGAGTTGAAGTATAAACACACATAAATGTCACTCATCTACAGACAACTCTAGACTATCACGAAAGTCTCGTTCCTCCTTGAAATAGACATCCCACCCATGAACACTCGGGTCGTGGTTGTTGCTCCAATCAGCGAGAAAGGGAGGCATTGGTACCTCACCTTCGTTGAAGTCAATTCGCACCCAATGATCGCCGGTGTGATTTAATCCCAAGATACCGCGTGGATGCCTTACGCCTGGAGGGGCACACACTGGTAATACAGTGTAGCCTAAGAACCAGGAGTCTCCCCCCTCCCATCAAGGCGATCATTGCGGGAATAAACAATGATGGCCCACGAGTGTAATATTGCGAAAACGACGAGATCTAAGTCATCGAACCAGTGATCACCCAAACAACCACTATCACTATTCCATGTGCACCGTGCAATTTCTTGTTCCACTGTTATATTGTTGAGATGATAATGTGAGGCATACCTATGGCCATTGGTTCTGAGCTCTTGGACAATGTCATCTCTCATCTGCCTCCAGTTATGCTCACTACCAGTGACTGCATGTGAAATGGCACGAAATCCACAATGACCATCACCGTCTGGATTATACCAATCTCGAATAAGAGGTTGAAATGGTGGTTGGAGGCCGCTCAAGTATGGATACTCCCACCACTCTGCATTAGGATGCTCGACCAATCTCCTAGGGGTATCACCTGTAGAAAATAACAATGAAAATTATTAACAAGTTTGTTCTACATTTTAGTTACATAATAAATAATGAACAAATTCCACAAATGAATAACCTCTAGTACCTTGGTTGCCCGGTGTAGTACTCGATGTCCTGGTGGACTGTGAGGTGGTCCTCCTAGTGGCATTACCTATCCAATTGCAAAAACAATTTGTGAGTTTTATTTAATGGGTCTTAGAAACAAAATGAAAATTCATCAAAGCGAAGAAAAAAAACACATTGAACATATGAAAAACAATATAAATGTGAACCTGTGTTGACTTCTTCTTCAGTTCTCTGTGAGCTTGTGGTCGTCGAATTGACCTTGAACTTGTGTTGAACATGTTCAAAGTAAGAAGGTTCCCTTGTGGTTGATGTCTTCCTCGGGCGAACCTTCTTAGGTTGTGTCCCACGTGGCTCATCTAGGCCATCATCTTCAGGGTGAAGATGACTCCGCAAAAGGCCAATTGCTGCCCGGATTGTAGCTTCATCTTTAGTAAGCAACTCTGTCACTAGCATATGTAAAGTCGAACGAACTGAACGCTCTCGATCCTCCCACTCTTGTTGGTTGGGAGGATTTCGATAATTCAAAGTTGACCAAAAAATGTCCAAGTCTTGAAGTGCAAAATCACGTTGTTCCATTCGAGCTCGCCGAATCATGCATCTACATGGTAAACCGAGTATTCTTGGGAAAATACATTGGCAAGGTTTTCCCTCCTCAGAAACCTCTTTAAACATCAACTCGAAAGAGCGTAGACTTACTTTCTTGGTAAGCTCCCTGAATGGCACCCTAGTGGCTAGAGCAAGCTTTTTTGTCCGAGAATGCTCGAGAAACTTTCTTATTTCACGGTGTTGATGCTCCAAGTGATCATGATATGTCTTGTAAACCTAAAAAATGAGGGGGAAAATTAGAGTAAACTATTAGAAACAATTTGTTAACAAGTAAAGAATTTATTGGAAAATTATTGAAGAACAATTATAGTAAACTATTTAGATGCTAACCGTGTCTAATGCTCCGTTAGATGAGCCAAGCCATGACTTGAAGGAGGAGTGTGCAGATTCAACTCGATTTGAACTTGTGTTATCTAAGTGGAGCACATCATTTGTGTAAGCTTTAGCAAATCTGTGGAGATGTGGTATCCACTCACCCGCTAAATAAGCCCACAAACCCGGATAGGATAAACACCAACTACGTCTAAATCCGTTTAAGGCTACCTCCATCTCTTCCACTGTAGGTGCATATACCACTCTTTTCCAACCCTTCATGATTATTACCACAAGTTTTTCTGCGGTTGCTTTATTAACTCCCGGTTTGTACACTTCGGTCATACACTTCGCTTGAACATTTCGCTCAATGTGCCATACACATAATAAATGCCTTGACAATGGAAATACTTCACCCACAGTCACTAGCAATCCACCCTCTTTGTCTGAGACAATTGCATCCGGAACAACATCTCCAAGAAGGTGTTTTAAGTGCTGAAGAATCCAGAGGTAGGTATCCTTTGTTTCATCAACCACTAAGATGCCTGCAATGTTGAAATTAAGGTTCACAGGTGTGACACCCACAATCTCTACCCATGCCATCCCATACTCGTTGGTCTTGTAAGTAGAGTCAATGACAACGACATGGTGCCAAGCTCTAAGCATCAAAATAGACTCAGGATGTGCTAGAAAAAGATGGGTGAGCTCGTTGCGGTCCTCCAAATGTGTAACATAGTATCCCTTCTTGCGAGCATCTTGGAAGGTCCACTCCAAAGGTGACATGCCGCCCAACCTTGCCACTCTCATCTTAGATCCCTCGTTGTAAATTTGTTTCCTAGTGTGGTGACCTTTATCTCCTTTCCCTTCATTAAAAACTTGTAGAACCTTTTTTGACGACACGTGTGACTCCAACAAACCATGGACTAATTTTTTATCTGCCGCACTAAGAGCATTCCGCTGGCTGGAACCTTCCAAAAATAGCTCGAACTCATGGTTGTGGTAACTCTTAAATTGACCGGGTTGATTTGTATCAAGCACCCCTTGGATCGTCCAGGGGCTGGCACCTTTCTTCTCTATCTTCACCATAAACGGGCATCCATCTTTTTCAGATTTAGTGAACACCCGAATTTCCTTCGAAGGATCCTTTTGCTTGGGCTTCATTATCCGACCATATTTGCAACTCAAATAGTGTCTCCATTCTTCTGTCTTTTTGTTTCTTTTGTTAGAAGTCCTAACAAAAAAAAACCCGAGACCTTGAGCAATTACTTTTGCCGCATTACAAGCCTCTAGATATGTTGTATACTCCACACTATTTACAAAGGACTGAGTGTAATCACCACCAATCGGATTTGAACTTCTAGCATCTGGATTTGAACTTTCCTCGACCTCCTACATAATTCAATTTTGTTTTTCCATTAATGTGAACTAACATACATGTCTAAAATCATATTTACCCGGGGTCGAGCCGGGATTTGATAACCGAAGTAGTCATATCTTTTGATGTAGTAGCGGAAAAAGAATGAACACGAAATTAACATACAAACATTATGAAAAAATCAATTTTTTTTTGTTAATTATTATGAGTTTTAATCACTCATAACATACTTTAAAATAATTAGGCACACTCATAATAGTATTTAAGAAAAAATACAACAACTACTTAACTATAAATGAGTTATAAACCAACAAAAGCATTAATAAATCTCATCACATATTCAACATTTCGTAATTATAAAATAAATGTGACTAATAATATAATTTCAACATAAAATCTTCACGCATAACATATCCAAATTCCTCCCTAAAAATTTGAAACAGAAAGTTTAAAAGCTTAATTGATTCAATTATTTAAAAGATCTTCAATTCTAAGTTGGACGATTACATTGAACAGAGCAAAAATTTAAATTGCACTACTAAATGAAA